GCCTGCTCCCTTCCTCTACCCTCTGTAGCCGGCCCGCAGGCCTGCTCCCTGCCTCTACCCTCTGTAGCCGGCCCGCAGGCCTGCTCCCTTCCTCTACCCTCTGTAGCCGGCCCGCAGGCCTGCTCCCTGCCTCTACCCTCTGTAGCCGACCCGCAGGCCTGCTCCCTTCCTCTACCCTCTGTAGCCGGCCCGCAGGCCTGCTCCCTGCCTCTACCCTCTGTAGCCGGCCCGCAGGCCTGCTCCCTTCCTCTACCCTCTGTAGCCGGCCCGCAGGCCTGCTCCCAGCCTCTACCCTCTGTAGCCGGCCCGCAGGCCTGCTCCCTGCCTCTACCCTCTGTAGCCGGCCCGCAGGCCTGCTCCCTGCCTCTTACCCTCTGAAATGCCGTCGTCCCCCCCCCCCCCCTAAGTTCCTGCACACTTGCCTTCCATCCCAATCGCTGAATGTCAGTGCCAGGGTTGGATGGAGTTGTCTTCTGCAAAGTGGTTTTGTTTGTGGCATAATAAAGATGCTGCGTAAGGGGGTTTCTGACCTTTTTCTTCCCCGATGCGTTTCTGATGTAGCCACAACGCTCGGTCCCGCGCTCATGTTTCTTGGGCCCCAAATTAGAGTTTAAATAACAACTGACTCAAAATCCTGTATTGAATCCTGGCTGTGCGAGCCAAACCCGAACCTTGGACCCGGCCACAGTGTCGTGGGCATCTGGCTCGCAAAGTGCCCCAGATGGCCAGTGCCGTCTCCCATGTGCTGGGTTTGCCTTCCGGGTCGGGCAGTGGTGGACTTTCGGGACCAGTGGCTGCAGGAAGGTGCTCGTCAGCCGTTTCTGTTGCACTGTAACTAAATGTCTTGTTCATTTTCTCATGTTCAGCGTTTGCTCAGGTTTTTTTTTTAATTTTTTATTCCATCTGTGTGAATGTTTGGTTTCCTGCCAAACATTTTCTATCTGGACCTTCACAGCCTGAACCGTGAAGCTATGAACGACACCCCAAAGCCAGACCTATCTAGCATTTTATGCCTTGGAAAGAATCGATGGGGGTGATCGTGCTTTCGCTGTGCGTGTCTGTGGCGGCGGCCTGCTGTGTAGCAGATGGCACAGTTTCTCCACACCAGCCTGCTGTTCCTTTTCCTTCTCAGATGGTTTGTGGTAGTAGCTTTAGCATCTTTAGTCCTCCGTGATCTCCAAGTGGTGTTTAAGGCTGCTCTGCAGCGGCCTTCCTCACGTCATGAGACTGAGTTCCCTTTCCCAGTGTGTCACGAGTAGGTGCACCAATCATAACTCTGGATTATTATAGAGCTCTGGTCACATTAACAGCATTATAATGGAAGCTTCTAGACCACCTGTCTGCTTTTCCAGACCCAGCCCAAGGTTTTTGATGTACACCAGCATCTCCCTGGTAGGCTGATTATTTCTGCTCTGGGGCTCATTTAAACATTTAGTTTTGGTGATGGGAACACTGGTGCTTGCAAGTGTCCTCTGTGTGGTGCGGTGTGCTGTCAATCACCAGACTGACCCAAGGGGGAACCAGTATCTACCTGCCTGACAGAACGTCATAACCACGAGCATAATTTCTGTTTACATCACGTGCTTTGTCTACAGCCATAGATCTTTTGCTTTCCTGACATCAAAGGGACCATAAAATTAAGTCATTATACAAAATGGCTCCCATGCATTAGTAATATGTTATGAACTTCAAAGGTAATTGAGGATATATACAAATAATCTAAACGTATGTGACAGTATGTTTCAGATGTACTGTATTTCCAAGTATCCAGTTTTCCTCGCTTATTCGATTTGCATATGTAAATAAGATAGTTTAAAACGCATGGCTAGAACACTCTTCGTCCATCCTGCACGCTCTGGTATTCCATCTTGAAGGTGTGTATTCACTAATGCGCACGTGTTTGTACCGACATAAATGCGCTCCGCCTGGCCTTTGGGGCTCCCCGCAGCTCCACAGGCTTTTACCTGCAGTGGAGGGCGATGCACGCAAGGCGCATGCGTCTGCCTGCTACTAGCCGGGATCTTCACGGTGCTTCTCCGCGCGCACTCTCACGCGGCTCCTGTAATGATTCCTGTCATAAACGGCGCGTTTTGCGATCTTCAATATGGAAGTCAAGCCGTTTGCTGATTACATTACCGGTTTAATCATCCCTCTTACTCGCGCGAAGCTGCCCCTACGTCTCTCGTTATACTACACTCTTCAGTCCGTCGCCTTCCAGAACAAGCATATAGCACCTTCATTTCGAGCTGCCCACTTTTCAGAATTGCGCGTGTAAAGCTTTTAAATTAATTTTGTTTAAGACATATATAGTGTATTGCAGTATGTCTCCCGTCCAGGCGAAGACAACAATGATTAATGAATGTGCAGAGCACTGGGTTTTATTGTGCTGCTCATCTCCATAAAATGCGTGTGTGCTGTTGCGAATCATTTATCATATTTTTTATTTATATATCATGCTTGTAATGTCGGGTAGTCCGCTCAGAACAAAGACCTGAAATAGACCCGTGAACGTTGCATTTCATATGCGCGGTCAGCAGGTGGCGACATAGTATCATTGTACGCCGCTGACCCGTTTTCTGCGGCCGTAACAAACATGGCGCCTCTATCCATCCATCCATGCAGTACCGCGGTCTGTCTTCCAGGATCTTTAACCTGTAAAAGTTAGACCATCCTTTTCGGATGGAGCGGCACGCAGGTCTGTTTTATATGCTTTTCTATACTCGTCTGTTGCTTGTATTATGCAAATGCGTTTAAATCTGTGAAAAGCTTAAACTCTTAAAGAGGTTAAAAGTGATTTCTCTGATTTTAGAGGGACAGTTTAGTAACAACCTGCGAACGAGAACCAGTAAAACTGGAGACCATCCCCCCACTGTCAACTGACATAAGCTGGTTAAAATTCTAAGAGGGGTGCTGTGCTTGAGCCAAATGTCCTGGCACAGAGCAGGCTACCAGTTAGCTTTCTGTCCCTCTGGGTTGCTCATGCGGGTGCTCTGCTCATCTGTGTCACTGCGTGTGCGTGATCTCATACCCCCATGGCGTCCTCTCTTATGCACGAGTGGTCCCTTAAACTGCAGTCTCTTTGGGTGTGCTTCGTTTATGGCTCCCTGTGCCTCAAAGAATGTCGTGGCTGGTCAGAGTCTGGGCCACATGGCCATTTTGTCTGCCCTTACACGCAGCGGGTAAATGCTGTCAGGAAACAATAGCGATTAGGCTGGTTTCAATATGTTTGGGCCCCTCTATCCAGCAGGGGGCGCATCAGACTCGCATGGTTCAGCCGTACTGGGCTACCACTGCTGAAGCGCAGAATTTTGGGGTGACCGAGGCCTGTTACCACGCCAGCCGAACTAATAGAGTTTCCTGGAAGTTTTCGGGAATCCTTTCTGTGACCCAGAGCACTCTGCAGCTAATCCTAAGAACCGTTTTGCTGGCTGTCACTGCATGTGATGAGCGTGAAGATGATGACGTAATCTTCATCTGTAACGGGTGTTCCGGGCAATTCAGTTTCCCTACGTTTCCCCTGTTGCGCGCTGATTTGTACACGGTTTCGCTGTTATTTTCATGTCTTTTCTCGAAGCTCTTGAGGTAAACAAGCCATATATTTTAAAACATCACATGCCTTTTCGATGTTTTTTGTTTTTACCGATAATAAATTAAAGTATTTCATTCGCTGGATAGACATATTTCTTGATGAAAACGGTATAGTATTGCTTATAAGACTATATTATGCGTGACGATCTGCTGTATTCACATGTAATAATGTACCTGAGTGATTTTCAGACATCTCACATACATATTTGCCTAAATATTAGGAGAAACATTATTTCCTGACATTCAGGATATTTGGTTCCCCCCTGTTAAAACAGGTATACAGCAACTCTGGGCCTCGCTACTAATAACAATACAGTATTCACATGTAATAATGTACCTGAGTGATTTTCAGACATTTCACATACCTCTTTGCTTTAATATTAGGGGAAACATTATTTCCTGATAGACAGGGGAAACATAGGGAAACCAAATTGGCCGGAACACCTGCATTGAGACTCCCTGTACTTTGAGATTTATTATTACTCGCGCCTCCCCCTCATATCCACGTGGTTAGAATAATGAAACATCCTGTCGTGTCAGAGGTCAGAGTCGCACAGCCTGGTCTATCCCGGAGGATCAGCTCTTCAGAAAGGCAGCGGGGAAACAAAGACGAGGTGGCGGGGAGGGACTCCTGCTGCCCCCCGGGAAATTTTACATGTACGTGTGTACCACTGTCTGGCCTTGTGCATATTGGTAAGACAGTCTATTTAAGATCCATGCTTTATACTGACCTCACTGGTGACCCCCGTAATGCATAATGACGGTCTGGGTACTGATGCCTGGCATTTCGCCCCGTGTTGCAGCAGCAATTCCTGCTTACTTTTGTACGCGCCGTAGGATGACAGGAAACAAAGAAAAGCACGTATTGCCGTTCCCGCCGCTGTGCTCTTTATTTCTGGCAAAGGAATAAAACGGAAATTACATAGCATGAGGCATGTTGGAGCAGCTTCGCGGAATAGCACGTTATTTTTATTTATTTGCTTATTGATTTATTTCTGTCAGTCGGAAACCCCATACCCGCCCCCGTGTCGTCGGTAGGACATGAGAAAATGACGGAGGGGCCGCGGATGCAGCCGTGTCATTTGCAGCCTGCTGATTATCATAACTGCGTCCATTAGTGAGGATTCGGCGAGCCCCATGCCATCCCACTGAAGCGGTCACATCGGGGGTCGGAAGCGCTTTTCCTCAGGAAGGCAACACACTTTACCCCATAAAACATGTTAAAGATTATTTTTGAGGATGCTTTTAGTTTTTTAATGGTTAGGTTGGTTTTGTGGGGCGATTTCTGTGTCTTTGGTTGGGGTTAGACCAGAATCAAAGAACGAAGGTGATTTTTATTGTTCTAATTTTTATTTATTTATTAAAATAGAAATATGTTTCTAAAATAAAACCATTTTGTGTTTAAATATACCCAGTATACATTTTTAAAATAAACACAATTTAATAAGTTCGCATTTACTATTGAAATATACATATGTCCATATCACAGAATTTAAAATGTTTTACATAGCATGAATTTGGGTGTTCATTTGTTGACAGCAACTGCAGTTTAATGGTTCGGTCATTTATAGGTATATAATCGTATGGCGATTTAGTGTTCGGTATATTTATATTGTCTCCACCTGCGTTAAAATACACAAATGAAACAGATCGACAGCGATCTTTTGCTGAGGTGACCCTGCCTTATCGTGGTCTCGTCGTTTTATTGCCTTCTCTAAGGCTGACGTCTGCTCCTACCTTGCAGGTAAAAATAAAGGCCGCACATTATACGGCTGCGTATGAAGGCTTCTGCAGTCAGCATTTAACACCTGATCAAGGACCGTGTTTCGTTTTAAGGTGTGATTTCGTGTTTCGTTTATATTTTCCTTCTGCCTTCTCTCTGTAAAAAGCACTAACTAACCTTCAATAGAGATGGCACTTTAAACTACCATTCCTTCGAAATTATTTTTTTTTTCAGCTGTAAGTAATCTGATGCGGTCTGTTTTTTTTCTTCATGAAATCCCGTTGCTGCGATGCTTACAAGTGATTTAAATATAAATGACAATTCATGTTTCACTACCCTAATAGCCCATTTCAATGAGACAAAATCCCAAACACCTCCGCAGTAATGGAAATATGCACATCATCACCTATCGGAATCAACGTCCGTGTGCCCATAACGCAAATGCATGATCTCAGATGGCGTTTCGTGCTTGATATTTGCAGTATGTTTCCGCAAACTGTCGCGGGATGCTTCTCCCATGCGGAGCCGCACACGATGCATTTAGAGGCGCTGCTCCCCCTCCCTCCTCTGGCCTGAGGCGGTGCGCTGCGTGTCGGAACGACCGGCTTTCTTCCTGTCCCATGCGGGGCGGAGGCTGACGGCGTGGATGAGTAAAGCCTGACCCAGGCACCAGTGTCCCGTCAGCTGGCCATATGAACAGCCCGTCACCGTCATTAGCGTGCCATGTCCCCCATGAACCATCATCGTCGCGAACCAAGGGTCGCGCCTGAAACGCGTCTGATGTCTTTTACTTATATAATTTATAATGAGAAAACAAAATTATGTCTAAGTGCTTAGTAAACAGATGCTGTGACCTCTTATTATTTGCCGGGTTGACCGTCAGTAGGTGTCTGTGTAACTGCGTCTGTGCTCCGATGCGTTTATGCGTAATGTTAACTTGTTTGATCATGATGCTTGCATTCTTTTCCCGGCTTAAGTCACACGCACCTTAACTTAATAATTGTCTAGACATTTGCTGCTTTTATATTTTAGTTCATAGTAAAAAAAAAAAAAAACCGTCGTAATTGATTAATTTCAGAAACGCTGCTCCGGCCTGTATGAATGCCACGCTTTTGTAAATCCGCATGCACTTCGGCGTGATGATGCCTGTGAGCCCCACTTAGCACGGAGGCGCCGCAGTGCCGCACTTCTGCGGCTCCGCTCCGGCCGGCCGGTTCTGCTCCCTCCGTGTGCTCCGTGGTCACGGTGATTCTTACCGATATTGCAGTTGTTTTCGGCCTTGGGATTCCGACTTGCCTTTGAAATCCTTACGCGGATACTTTTTTTCAAGGCTTATTGTGATTTTTCTCATTAGGTTATATGAACTAAAATGGTGGAGTTTTGTACTGTACAGGATGATTCCCCTGGAACTCACCTGTGCAGTGACTGTGTGGGTCACTGATTTGCAGGTGGCACAGACATACACAGGAAACCGTGCAGCATGTTTACCGCTATATTCAGCTGGAGACCAAAGGCCTTGCAGACACACTGGACCCAGACCAGCGGTTCTCCTGTACTACCTTAGCCTCTCACGCTGGGTGTTCACTGGATGTTCCTTTGCAGAGATGCGTGTCCTGTGTGTTCCGGCTCTGTCTGCTGTGGTGTCTGCGGTCTGTCTCTTGGCATTCACCGCGTGCCTTAATTGTGTGAAATTAAATCAAGGTCCACTGTGAACACAAAGAGCCAAACCCGAGCGTGAAGGCTGCCGCTCCCTCTGCGCTCAGCATCCTGCATCGGCACGTCCGTCGCACGCGGAGCCTTCGTACGGAGCTGCCATCGCCCGCATGTCAGCGTCAGGGGAAACGTGTCCGCCGCAGCAGAGATGGAGTCGGACAGAGCGTCACGCGGCAGCGGAGCAACACAGCAGCTTTAGGGGACCGAGAGAGGAGCAGCGTGAGCGGGGGGGTCTGCAGCGGTGATGTACCTTTCCCGTGCGACAGTGCCGGTTCAAGCAGCACCTGCTCGCTGTTTTGTTCTTGCGGATCTTCTTGCTTGTAGTGAAACAAAGGTGGGCAAGTGGTCACACGGTGTCACGGTCACACGGTGTCACGGTGACAATGTCACAGGCGCGTCGCTCGCTCACACGCAGGCAGGATGCCGCCGTCTGCAGGAATGTGCTAGCCCTCTGTGCTAAGTCGTTAGCATCGCACCAAGATGCTGGATAATGCTCTCTCAGCTCTGTGTCTTCCCCCTCTCCCTCTCCCTCTCCTCTCTATCTCCTTCCCTCCCTCCCCCTCTCCCTCCCCCTCCCTCTCCAGATCCAGAGTCTGATTGGCAGACTGATTCCGAAGGAGGCGATGAAGGCCAGCTCACTCTCCCCGACTCTCCCCTGTCTCTCTCACTCT